AATGATGCTTTTATCAATTTATTGAATATGATGCTTTTTCTTTCTATTGAATATGATGCTTTTATCAATTAATTGAATATGACGCTTTTATCTTTCTATTGAATATGATGCTTTTGTCTTTCTTTTTTTAAATAAATAACTTCATTATCGAACTTTGTTATTGCTTTTATCTTTCTATTGAGTATGTTCTACATGTGCCTGAAAAAAGGGTGGACATGTCGGAATTTCTTTGTAAGCAATTTATTTAACGTTTCTTTTTATTACTTTTACTACTTTTTGTAATTACAATTTGTAAGTATTAAGGCGTATTTGCTGCTTGGATAGTTATTAAAGGTGTTATTTGGGTTTTTTCAAGCATATTTTTATCGGAAAAAATTTCGAGCCCCAGGCGGGATTCGAACCCCTGACCTTCTTTTTTCTTGAAAGAATACAAAGTTACAAATGAAAACTGAACATTGTTGAAATGTCCACGGTTGAATTACTTCATGTCTCGAAAATCAAAATATTATAAATGATAATAACTTACCAAGCTTTAGATGGTTTACAAGCTTTGCACCGTGCACTTTTTTCAAATCCTTCACGTGACTTGCAATTCTTTCGGCGTATCTCGAGCAGTTGAATGGAACGATGAGTGATTCGCTCAGGAACAAGCCAAGACGAACCCAGACCTGCGCTACTGTGCGGTGGTAGTGAAATCCACGGTCCACGAAATTGGCCATGTAGTGGAAAGTATCGTAGACTGTGTGGTAAACTGGGTAGGTACTGATGTTCATCTTTGCCTGAAGTTTGTGAAAAATATGAAAAACTACGACATGAATAGATAAGACCCCTTGCACTGAGTTCCGCTAAGAATTATTCTGGGGGACAAAAAAATGGATGTCAAAGACTGCCTATTGTTTCTTCGCCCTTAACAATTCCTCTAGGAAGTTAATGCAAAAGATCTATAAAGTCAGGGTACTGACTCGGGAGTTCACTGGATGAGGTGCGGACTGTGGAGACCAACAGGGAAAGGTGGAAGAGCTCTGTAAAGGCCCTCTGTTCCATGAGGCGCGAGGAGGAAAGTTAACAGCTAACCGACTACCAGAAATACTATTTAGAGAATCGAATGGGTCAGAGGTATAGTGAAATCGCCTCTCATCTCTGGAGTACTGATAGATTCCAATCAAAACCCAGCAGTAAATCCATCTGTGAATGAGCTGTACGTGCCCTGATCTCGATCAGCCCATGGTGTGTTCAGGATTCTATCTATGAGTTAGCCGTGCCCTAACTTAGGTCCGGCAGAACAGAGGTTTTTTTATAGGAATTGATCTGTGAATTAGCGTTGTCCTGACTTTGATTAGCCCAGAGGTTGTTTCAGGGACAGATGAAATTGACAGAAAACCAGGGGAGAATAAGAATATCTATTGCCTTAAAAAAACTAAATCTAATCGATCTGCTGCAGAAGGAGACGTACCTTATTCCATGTGTATCCGAAGTCAACTGAGGGTATTCCAAGACGTTCATAGAAATCTTTATAATTACTGCTGGAAGTAAGCTTGCTAGTACTAAAAAGAAAAGAAAGTATATACAACGCCTTAATCATGCCCCAAATATATTAACGCCACCACTTCATGTATTATGTACCTTAGTTACCAGCGCCTTTATGTTCTATCAGTACCATCACCTATTAGATTATGTACCTTAGGTAC